GACTTTAGTCTTTGCAACTTTACAGATCTTCTTTATGCACCAAGAGCTTGTAACACTCCAAAGAGAAAGGGAAAATTGAAATCGCATCATATGACCCCTTTAATACAACGAAAATACGTCATTTCAATTCTTTTATTCTATTCCCTAGCACAAAAAGTTCTTGAACTTCTCGTGGCCCCTGAATCTATAGGCCGGCAATTGTGTCATAATTCCATATTTCTGACTGACGGCTGATTGATGTGTGAGCAGCTGATCATTTGGTGGTGAATGTTCATTCTGTCAAGTCTTTCAGTCTCTCTGTAGCAACCCTGTGTTTAGACTCCTATTGCCCCATCATCAGATGTCATCATTTCTTCACCTCCAGCGCACACGTCTGTCATCTAGGTTTAGTGTTAAGGCGTTCAGACTGTGAGTAAACTGTGCTGGCAATGGCCTAATGGTTCCTCTGGTGTCAACACAGAGAAAAAGAGATCATTTATTATAAAAAGGAAAAAGATCCACCATCTTTACAGGACCATTATGTGTTTTTTACCTACATACTGTCACACATAATTTGAGCACTTATGTAAATAGGGACAGAATGATTCGCTTTAATATTTATACCTAAGTAAAGTGGTTTGTGCATTGCATGTGACAATGCAATAGTAGTGCATGCCAAATGCATGAGAACTTGGACCATTATGTGTTAACATGCATTAAAATAAGTGAATCTTTCTCTAGTGTTACAAGAAAGAACTATATTGAGATCTGACTTGATAGTTGTAAAGGAAGTTCACCCAAATAACGAAATGTCACTCTTTTCCATGCAATTACAATGAATGGGAAGCTTTCAAGTTCCAAAAAGGACTCAAAAGCAACATAAAGGTACCATAAAATATAAAAGTAGTCCATTTGATTTGTGCATTAAATTTTTTGATGTTGTACATCATTGTATTATTATTCACTGTGAGCCGTTACTAAAAAGTGAATCAGTGAGTTGAACTTGAGAACTGTATCAGTTTGATTCTTGAATGAATCATTAAGATTTTGTGAAATTGAGCATTTGCATATGTATTCTCCTTTTGTTTTCCATTAAAAGATATGGGTTTATGGTTTGTATGTAAATAATGATACAATGTTCATTTTGGGTGCACTATTACTAGAGAGCCTGTGCAAAATACAATTTGTAAGTGTACAAATGTGGATGTTGCATGCATTGAAATATACAGAAAACACATTATAGATCTTTATAAGCAAATAAAACAATAGGCCTTGATGTTATTAAAACATTTATTTTGTTCTCAGGCATGCGTGGAAAGCACACACGACCATATATATTTTCTATTTTTATTTTCTATGTATCAAACGTTGCTGTAGGGCTTTATTGAATGATTTTTGAAAACAGAAACACTGAAAGATTCAGAAAACAACGAGCTTTATTCACAGCACGGTGTCCCACTGTTGTTATTTCTTGTAGGAATTATTGTGGCAAAGCTTTCTTACCAACAGCACTCCGTTTTAATCTTACCATCAACACTCAGTTTTAATTACAATTGATTGCTTTGCTCTTTCTATTATTGATTGTACCCTTTCAACATCAATACTTCTTCAAATATGACATCTTCATAGACACAGCCAGTGTTGTAGTGTTGCATTTACTTGAGCATTATGAACTCAGCAGAATATATGGACATCCTAAAACACTGATGTAAAAAATAGTAAATAGAAAGACATAAACTGACATTTCTTTAACGTGATGTGAGCAAAACACAGCAGTCATGTTACTCATGTAACATAATAAGACTTTTCAGATAGAGTTTCCCATGCATATTGTCAGTCAAACACAAAATAACCGCCTCAGAACACACAAAATAATACTTACATCCATTAAACCTTCTGCAGATTCCCCTATTCACAATGTTAAACAAGTTAAACTGTATATTATTCTTTAATATGGTGCATTCTGGATGCTGTATTGATATTTAGTTCTGAAATCTTCTTGTTCTCTCCTACAGGTTTCTTTATAAAAGCACCAACATGTCTTTGGCCAAGGAGATCAATCATGGACATTAGATAAACAAATACATTATTTGAAAAATAAATAAATAAATAGAGCTAATTATTAACACCTAGTTAGAATAATTTAAATAAATATTAGATACATAAGATGCACAAAGCTATCAAATACACAACTGGCTCAAAATAGTGTCTAATTCATTCTTAAAGGGGTCATAGGATGCTACATGCACTTTTACAAGTAGTTTGAACTGAAATGTGTGTTGGCAGTGTGTGTACACAACCACCCTATAATGATAAAAATCCACACTGTTTTTAAAAAATCTGGTTAAATGTTTTCCCCTTTCTCAAATCGAGCCGATCTCAGATGCCGCTTGATCTGAAAAGAGCTGTTTTTGACAGGGTAAAAAAGGTGTTTTTTATACTACCATTAAGAAATTTTAACCAAACTATGTTACAGACTTTTCATTAAGACCCTAAAGAATCATATCAACTTGTGGAAAATGGGCATCCTATGACCCCTTTAAATAAAATTGTGTATTATGAGCTGACAAAGCAGTGACTTTGTTTCTTCAGGGTCAGTCAGGATCTGTAATTTTATCAAATCTGGTGGTCTTTCAAAATTTTTTTTACTTGGTTAGTGCGTGCATGTCCAAAGTTGCACCGCTATAAATGTCTCATGCTAAAACCTCAACGCAATAACCACACAATACTCTTTCTGAGGTAAAAATGGGACAAAGAGATTTTTCCAAATCGCATTGTGCTATCCGCAAAGATCCTCTGGATGAGAAAAACTTTTGGACACATTCTATCTATGATGCACTTTCAAGTGTTTGACAAAGATGCCCAAATAAGTATTTTCTGTTTGCAGTGTTAGCAGTTCGTCCTTCATAGTCAGTAACATCGGCTTTATTAACGTCCTCACCTGGCATCACAAAATACAACACAGCAAAACTCCCCCTTTGACTCTGTTCCTCAGTGATTTGAGATCCACACAGCTATTCCAAGGGTCACCTGTAAGTACAAAGACAGATCTGTGAATATGAGAAACTCAGCAACACACAGCAAAAAAGTAGGATGGTAGGTTGCATTTTAAAGGGTTGCTACGAAGACTCTACATCAAAGTAGAGACAAACTGTCTGCAAAAAAAAAACATAAAATAGCCCCAAACCAACCAGCAAAGATTGCCTGGTTAGCATGATTCTGTTAACCTCTGCTGGAAGATACTGTAACTACACCCGCAAAAAAGCATATTTCACTATTGATGGCCAATAGATACAACAGATATAGCTAGAATAGCTAGACCAATTAGATGGATAGCTAAAACGATAGACAGACAGACAGACAGACAGACAGAGAGACAGATAGATAGATAGATAGATAGATAGATATTTTATCATTTGAATCTGTGAAGGGTCTACTTTTATTTGTGTACACTCACAATATCAACAAAAGATTGTGCTTTTGTAAAATAAAGAAAATATACAGGGTGCGCTTTCAGCTGTCTCAGTCTCCGCGAACTTCTTTCTGAAACGCGTCACTAAAATGAACCAAAACTCAGAGAATACTTTACATGAGAAACATATCTATGGAAAGCTTAAAGTGTCTGGTTTTACATGAAGTAAGTCTTATCGAAAAGTTAAAAAAAAATCAGAAAATCAGAATCGTTTTCAATTAAGGTTTTTTTTCTGTCTTTAATGCTCACATAGTTAAACACAGTTAAGCCAGCATACACATATACCCTACACTCAGCAAGTAATGATGTATATAAAACACTGTATAGGCACATTTAAAGATACATTTTTCACTGTTAGGCAGGTTTATACTAAGAATGTTAAGTTTCATTAAATCTTTAAGTCAAGTTGCTGTTTTCATACCTTTGTAATATTTTACAGTCAATATTAAATTACTGAAAGAACTACAATTTTCACTTTGTAGTGTATTTATTTTTAGGTTTGATATGTTTTCAAAGTAACTTAAAAGTAAAGTAATTAGTAATCGGATTACGTTTTACATGCAGTAATCAGTAATGTAATCAAATTACAATTTTCAAGTAGTAATCAGTAATTTGTAATCAATTGCTTTTGTTGAGTAACTTACCCAACACTGATTGTTAATATACCTACCTATTGAAGTACTGAAATCTGTTTAGTACCTTTATAATACACTGATAACAACCAAAAGCAGGTGGTGATGAGAAAGTCACATGATAAACCAAAGCTCATCACATGCAGCTTTTCCATTAGCTGAGAAGAAAAATACTGATATATATCGAAGGTGCGCTGTGTCATTCACACAAATACTAAACACCATCATGGTAACACATGACACTAACCTAATGCAAATAAACATTAATTTAACATCATTAGATGTAACATACAACCCTAATTAACACAACTGATAAGAAAAAACTAAGAAGAAACATAGTTATTTTAACGAAAAAACATAAAATGTGAAATGCAGGGAATTCTGGGAATTTCAATTTACGTTTTTTTCACTGTAAATTGTACATTCTTTTTCACTTCCAAAAACTCTATTTTACCGTAAAATTAGTTTTTCACCGTATATAGAGAGGGGGAACTTACCATTAACCAATTAATATGTTTTTGTGTGTGGTCTCTCCGTAAACAGATTATAAACGGTAATCCAGGTATTCGGGCATTAACATAAGTACTCATAAACCTGAGCTAACGCAAAGCTGTTTATCATCATATTTATTTATTTTTCCATCTCATGCATTTCTCCTTCAGGGGACTCTCTGAATTAAAGCTCCATCCTGGTGAAATCACTCTTACTTGCATGTGGCTTTTATCCACAGAAACACATGAAAAATGAATTTTGGCACCAGTGTTTTTGTGGCGCGCAGGCGGTGTATGTGTAGATAAGACTCAGTGCTCAGTTTAACCAAGAGTTCACCCAAAAATGGAAATTCTGTCTTTATTTACTCACCTGTATGTTATTTCAAATGTCTTTCTTCTATGGAATACAAAAGTTGAATTTTTGAAGAATATCCTGGTTGCTCTTTTCAGTGTACCGGGCCTCATTTATAAAACACACACATATACAATCAGATTTGATTCCATGCAGTTCATCCTACATTTCATCCTACATCAAAAGTGAGGAACAAATCGGGATTTATAAGGCAATTACTGACATGAAAATGTTCTTATGCATTCAGCAACTGAAAAGCACGCACTGTAAAAAAAAAACAACAAAAAAATTCGGTAAAATTTACGGTACAAAACTGGCAGCTGTGGTTAGAACATTTGTAATACACTAATAACCATCAAAAACTGCTGGTGATTAGAAAGTCACATGATGAACTAATAAATACTAATATATATAGCGAACGTGCGCTGTGTCATTCACACAAATACTAAACACCATCATGGTAACACATGACACTAACCTAATGCAAATAAACATTAATTTAACATCATTAGATGTAACATACAACCCTAATTAACACAACTGATAAAAAAAAACTAAGAAGAAACATAGTTATTTTAACGAAAAAACATAAAATGTGAAATGTTATGCAGGGAATTCTGGGAATTTCAATTTACGTTTTTTTCACTGTAAATTGTACATTCTTTTTCACTTCCAAAAACTCTATTTTACCGTAAAATTAGTTTTTCACCGTATATAGAGAGGGGGAACTTACCATTAACCAATTAATATGTTTTTGAGTCTTTTACCATTAAAATCACAATCATTTAACAACTGGTAACAGTTTATGAAAACTACTAACTTAATCACAAAAACAATAGAAGACACAAGAGACATACATGTCTATACAATGAGGGCAGATGCCTTTTTGTCCAGAGTGATTTACCCTGTACTGACATGAGAAACTGTCTGTCTGCAGTAGCCGGGGGTAAAATTCCGTGTTTAAGGGCGCCGGAGCAATAGGGCAAGTTTGAGAGCATGCTAATTCTTCTCTTCAGGGATCAACGCGGCTAACAGCACACAGATCACTGCTTATTACTGTCAATCAACAGTCAAGCTGATTATTTGTGCTAGCGTTTGTTTCTGAAATGACTGAACGCACAGTTCAGCAATATATGGTGCTTTGCGGTCAGTGAAGTTACCAATCTGCTCTTGTACTGTTAAAGAAATACCATTACATCTAAGCAGCTTTAAAAATGCAAATCATATCTAATATTAACCCTCTGTCAAAATACATGTGTATAATCTAATGGGATTACAATAGATAAACTACCGTTCAAAGGTTTTGGGTCAGTATGATTACTATTATTATTTTTTTAAGGAAATTAACATTTTTATTCAGCAAGGACACATAAAATTGATCAAAAGTGACAGTAAAGAGATTTATAATGTTACAAAAGATTTCTATTTCAAATAAATGCTGTTATTTTGAACTTTCTATGCATCAAATGTATTACAGTTTCCACAAATAATGGATTAATGGTTGCTGAAAATTCAGCTTTGCATCACATGAATAAATGACATTTAAAAAATATATTAAAACACTTTTATTTTAAATTGTAATAATATTTCACAATATTACTGATTTTATTGTATTTTATTATTATATTATATTGTATTGTATATTATATATATATATATATATACAGTGGGTACGGAAAGTATTCAGACCCCCTTAAATTTTTCACTCTTTGTTATATTGCAGCC